ATATAATACGATATTTTAATTGAGCCACTATATTTTTCCATTAAAAAGCATTTAATTTCATTATGTAACTTTTCAAACTAAATATCAGAACATAAAAGCTTGTCAGACAGTTTTGTCAGCGGGTCCTGTCTGAGTTCACCTACCTCACATCAGCAGATGACAACAACAAAACACGGCTACAGAGAGGGTGTTAGCGTAGTTAGCTTCTGGAGATAAACAACTGGTCGCCTCGTCTGTGTGTTACCTAATCAAGGCTGGAGATTTATCGTTCAGAACTTCGTAGAAATATGCCTGATCTATGCATCTAGTTATGGTTGTCATTTATTTTTTGGCTTAGTTCAGTCCTCGTTAGCTGAGTGGCTCGGAAAGCTAACTAAAAATGCCAAGCTTAAACGGGTTAGCTAGCTAGCTTACGTGCTAGCTTTTTAGCTAGCCAACCAGCCCAGGCGAAACCCAAGGAGATGCGAGCAAAGTGAGGTAAGAAAAATACATCGTTTATTTTGTCGATTGTGAGTGGACTCTCATCTTTAAAGCAATGTGCACAAAACAAGTGAATATAAATGTACAAGCCAGCTCTAGTACATTTCTCAGATTCATCGATATTACTGTCCCGTATTAGCCTGTCAGTAGAGCTAGCGCAGTCATAGCAGGTTATTATTGACTGTTTTAGCTTGCTAGCAGCTGTTGCTGGTGGTCACTTTGACATTACATTCATGACTTAACTGGAGGCCACCGTGTTCTTAATAATTTCTTATTCCTCTCAAACATACGTACAAGTGTTAAGCTAAACAACAAAAGGCCCGTAATACGCATAAATTGTTGACGATACTATACTTAACATTGACAAAGTACCATGGAGGTTTTGATGTTGTCACAACGTTGTAACGCAGCTAATTATTTAGCGCTAACTTAGTTTTACTATATCTTTATTTGACATTACACCAGTAAAGTCGCCCGGCTTCACAGATAAATGTCAGCTCATTTAACTATCAGTTTGAAAGTCTGACTTCAATGAGGCCAACATTTTAGGTAACAACAGTTTAAAGCGTGTTATTACCCTAACCAAAAAGACACGGTGACTCAGCTACTGCTACTTCAGTGAACAAAGAAACTGCAAGGATGTCAACAGTTTAAAGTAGATAGTTTTGGTTAAAGTGAACTATAGTTAAATTTATTTTTACATAATTTTATTCTGTTTTCCTGCTACAATACAGTAATTAAAAACAAGCTTTTTTTAAAAAATCTGAGTAAGCAGAAGTCAACTTTGACATAATATAAATTTTGGGACTTTTTCACTAAAGTTGGAAATAAATAAAAATGCAGGGTGCCCACCTCCTCCCTGCCCCCATCCTAGAGTGAGAGTAAAAGGGGGTAAAAGGAGTGTATAATGTGAACTTTATTAGAGAGATGCCTGTTGACATTTCTTGTTGATAATTATACATATTTTAATCCTCCACAATAACCAAAAGTAGCAAAAACACAACCAGACTGCACTGTTTGCTCCCAACTAACTTTTTTGACCGCTTGCCTGCATTTTCACTTGCATTTGCTTATCAATTCAAATTCAAAACTTTATTGATCCCAGAGGGAAATTAGATGTTGTAGTAGTAACTCGTTTAACTAAAGAGTTATTGTAGACTAATTGCTGTTTATTTTCTTTATCTTAGACTGAACATCAAAATTAGCACAGAAACAGTACTATATAACATTTTAGACACATTCTAGACAGTTTATCAGCTAAAAAAAAATTATTTTGGGGTAAGTTACTCTTTAAGTTTTGCATATTATGGGACATAGTTGCTCAGATTCAAACAACTCAGGATCACAATTGTCTTCCTCCACAACAGTGTGTGCTTCACCGATTTCTGGAGAGAAAAAGTCCACCACCTAAAAAATAGTTGTTTAGAAAGCCGTGCAGGTGGTTGAGATATAGAATGATAGCATCATGTTTGCATTTTTTTTTTGTTTTTATTGTGATTAGTTATATTGACAAGTACCAGAACGAAATTTACCATTTATTCATCATCATTATATGGATGTAGTCTGTTCGCCGAGGCAGATTTGTTCTGCAGTGAGCTTATAAAAACATGCTCTCACACACAGAGTATTTTTTACATTGTATTTTACTCTTATTTTATTTCATACATATCAAACACACAATGTTATCACACATACTAAAAATTTGTGTAAATTTCCTCTGAATAACAGTGACACAAAAATTATTTCATGAAATATTTTTGTTAGCAAAATCCGTGTCCCTTTTTTGTTTTTGCGTTTTCTAGCTTGACAGGCTTTCAGTTTCTTAAAAAAAATTCCATTTGTGGATACAGGCTTAGAGCTATCGCAGTTGTTATACTTTGATAATTGCAGTGAAGCCCTAATTGTCAGTTACTGTCTTCATGTTTGTTTTTGTTTGTTTACCTTTTGCAGGTCTGTGGCATGTGACTAAATGAGCCAGACAGGCAAACTTGAAAAACTCTGGGAGACTCATCATGAAGTTGTATGTGTTCCAGGTCAACAATGGCAGCACATTGACATTTGACACTGACCTTGCTGTCCAGACGTAAGAAACGGGAGAATCCAAATAATATTTGATATCGTTCTTCCTCCCTATTTAAATCAAATGAATGTCTTTCTTTGTCTTAGTGTACTGGAGCTTAAACATGCCATCCAAGCCAAATACAAGATCGCAGTTCAGCATCAAGTCCTGGTGGTCAATGGAGGGGAATGTATGGCTGCAGACAGACGAGTCTGCAGCTACAGTGCAGGCACTGTGAGTTTGCTCAAACTGTTTTGCTTTTACGGTAATTTTCTTGGAGCATTTGTAGGTTCATGTTTTAATACTTATGTCTTTTTTGTGGATCCTTAGGAAACCAACCCCATATTCCTGTTTAACAAAGAGATGATCTTGTCTGACCGGGATCCAACAATCCCTAAAACCACCTTCTCGATTGAAAGCGAGATTCAGTTGAAGGTGGAGGAGTCACTATTGATGCCAGCTGTCTTTCACACCGTTGCCTCACGAACACAACTTGCTCTGGTAGTTATCAACTTTCCTTGTTCAAGCTTAGCTTTCCCTGGGGCATGTTTTTTTTTTTAATTGTTTCTGAAAGTTGGCTTCATCAATTGAAACAAATAATTTTCATTTTTAAGATGTAAACACAAAAAACGTTAGGATTTTGGGACATCTGACATTGCAGGTTACAAGTCCTGGGCTGCTGTAGAAATTAGGGCTGAAACGATTCCTCGAATAATTCGAGTAATTCGATTACAAAAAATCCTCGAGGCAAATTTATCTGCCTCGAAGCTTCGTAAAAAATACATACCGTTATAATCAGCGCACTTTCGTCCGCCCCGAATGTTATTTGTGTTACATATAATGCTACGATGTTAGCTCTTCAGCTAACAGTTACACTGTCGACGGGTCACGCGTGTATGCTTGCTAAGCGCAATATTTAGCTTTAGTAGAAGACGAGTGCAGAAACAAAGCGCCCAAAAGACAACAAATTAAAAAAAGTATGGGAACATTTTAAAATAAACAGAAAAGATGACAACTTGCAATACGCTTCACATCCTCGATGTTTCTGCACCAGAACAAAAACACCGGCTGCATGTACCGAACGCGTCCTGAATTAACAACAGGTATTTGTTTACGTTCCCTTTGCAAAATACGGTTACCTAAATCGTGATAATGTCATGTTACAGATGTACAAGGAGGAGGTATATTTAAGCTAACGTTATTTGTGCTGACTAACCATGGTAACCTGGCAGGGTTTTATTAAACAGTGTGAAAGTTGTGTGATTAAAAACAAGACTTACTGTAAGTTTGTCAGATAAAAATAAATGCACAGCAACAGATCGACAGCTTGAGCTGAAACACTTTTATTTGTTGATGTGCTTTTATCTTAGTTTAAATGATACTTGGAGTAAATGTTTCAAGTTTAAAAGTATTTATGGAAGATAATTGGATTTTTTTAAATTATTTGCTGCTGCTTTTTAGGATTTTAGCTTTCATTATACTGTCATTTGTTTATAGCTAAGCAGTCAAGACTAAATCTTATTGCCTAAATGGGAACCCTGCACCAACCTAATTACAGTCTTAAAATAAATTTTTGTTACAATTAACAAGTGAACTCTACAAAACTCAATTGCAACACCCAAATGTTTATATTACCCATTTTACTTATTACATTTCTAACTAAAAAAAGGACATT